CAATCAATATCTATAAAAAAATCTTTAATAAAGTTTACACCTTCAAATACTTATCAATTATAATATCAGGAACTTCCCATCCTTCATTCTTTATTAAATCAAACAAAAACTCTCTCTCTATTAAAAATAGTTATCATATTTAAGATAATAGTGTAATTCCAAAAAGTACATTTCTATTTTTAAAAATATATTCTATTATTTCATCACTCTACATCTATAAAAAGTCTTTTTAACCCCTAAACAGGTTTACTCCCTCGAATAATTATCAACTATGATAACAATCAATTCTCATCCTTCATTTGTTATTAAATGAGACAAAATCTCTAAAGCCTTTTTAACCCATCAAGTGACATTTAATATCACATTTAAACCTAATTCTAGCTTTCTTTCTATGCCAAGTTGGTTTCCATATTAAAGCTTTTCAATTAATGAACCTCAAACTTTGGTTATAAAAATTTCTAACCAATTCAAACTGAGCAAAATTTTGTTCCCTTTCTACCAATATCACCTGGGTATTATATTGACTTTTATTCCATGTTATAATTGTAAGTGAATTATCCACTTTATTGTAGTTTCCAGAAGGTTGTATCTGAATGTCAATCTTTGTTATTTTTGGTAGTTGAACTGAATCAATTACAGATAGTTCTTGATCATCCAAGTCATCCATCCATTGTAGGTAACGTTGTGTAAAATTAGTTGGCTCAATGGTTTCCACCTTTTCTCCCAATGTAGATTCCCAGTTGGGTTGTGAGTATAATATCTCTGTCTCTTTAAGTTGTGTGTCTTGATGTGTAGAGGCCTGTTCAAGATTACTCTGTTCTTCCTCTAATGTTCCTTGTTCCATGGCTTGATTCATTATTGGAGGGTCCATTGGAAGTGCCAAGGTGGCATCATTAGATTTTCTCCTAGGTTTCCAATAAGTTTTGGAGCCTTCTGTCATTTCTAAATTTTTTTCCAATATTAAATCATAGTCAAGATGTGAGATATTTCCTTCCATTTTGGTGGTAGATTAGCCTGTCCCTTTATTAGAGACTATGTTTAAACAAGATCCACAAATATCCGTCTCCAAAGGACCAATAGCCAGCTTCACCACCCAGATGTCAAATTATCTTTTCTCTTTTAATGTCCTATGAAAATCCAATTCTTCTTCAAATAACAGAGATACAGTTGTAATTATTGCTTTTGGCCACCAGATGTTCTCAGTAGATTTTAAAATCCTTTTTCCATGTTGGTAGAGTTAAAGGGAAAAAAAAGTTTTCTCTCTCATTTTTAAACAGTTAGCAAGAGAGGTATCTCCAGCATTATAAAAATGAAAGGAACAAATTGATAATGTCCCCTTTTTCTTCTTTTCCCCCAAATACCCCCCCCAAAAGTCCAATAATAAAAAATAACCAAAAAAGACAAAGAATTATTAGTTGATTTTTTTTTCCTTTTAGCTCTTTTTCCGGTATAGGCAGCTGCCACTTTCTTAAGACAAGGAAATACAAAGCTCTTTACAGGAACAATCAGGATAGAGAGAGAAAAAAGTCTCACCCAGATTCACCACTGTGGTTCTTCATGTTTAGTTGTTCTTTTGACTTGCGGTTGGTGCGGCAGGGTGATCGGCCATTTTACTGGCCGATCTTCTTCTCTGCCGGCCCTCAGAGTTCGCTTGGATAGCTGGAGGAGCCGCTGCTCCTCTGCAGCTGAGCACAGCCTCCTCGACGGTAATCACGCCCTCAGGGCGACTTTTGACCCGCATAAGGGTCTACCGGCAGAGGGAAACTAGCCAACAAGGAGATGAGTCTCTTCGTATGACTAGAGGCACCGTAATCCGGAACCGGAAGTCAAACTTGCTAAATTTTTAATGAATACAGTTTCCATTATCAAGTTATTTATTTAGTGGACCTTTATTTTGCCGACAAATAACAAATAAATAAATCAAGTCTGGATGTTTCTGGGTGTTACAAGGCATATATCAAGTTCTTTGTCCCAGTATTATTGGAAGTCAATAATGACATTTTTAATTTTATTTCATGGCTATGATCAAGCGTTCCATGTGGGTTCTGAGTACATTTCAACCAGGAAAGCAGTGGTTGTGGTTGACTATCCAGATGTTCAGATATGTGTGAGCCACTTTGGCATTGTGGTTAAAGATACTGGGATAAAAACCAGGAGATGGTGAGTTCTAGTCTCATCTTAGGTAAGGAACCATCTGGGTGAGCTTGGGCCTGTTGCTCTTTCTCAGATCTAGGAAGGAGGAAAGGCAAACCACTTCTGAAAAATATTGCTAAGAAAAGTACAGGGACTTGTAGGCAGAACTCAAAACTGTTCCTCAAAGGAACAGCATTTATTTATTAATTTATCAGATTTATTTATTAAATTTGTACTTATAAGCACAGCAAAATGTTCCTCCAAAATCAGCAGGGGCCGTAGTTAACATTCAAAATTTCATATTGTTATTTTGAATGTAGAATGAAGAAAGGAAGGACTTTCCCTCCACCCAAAGAACAGTCAGGATTTCTTTTGGCAGCCATGGACAAAGGGGGTGGGGTGGAGAAAGCACACAGATCATTTCATTTTGTGCACAGTTAATATAAATGACTGATTTTTCTGAGTCAGAGGTCAGATTGTGTGATTATTGCAAAGAGATAAGCATTTACAAGCAAACACCTGCGCAACATCCAGGAGTTCTGCTAAGCATACAGATGAAGCCTTTGTAAGTGATATTTGCTTTTTACAAAAATAAGAATACCTTCCACTTTTATGTTTTGAAACCCATTCAACTGAATATAAATGTAACATAGGAATTAAATATATAAAATACACATATTAAAACTGTTACCCTAATAGAGAACTATGCAATATTTTCTATTATAAACAAATATGTACTTCCTTTTCTAGATTAATACTCTAACCATTGATTTAATCCATCACTAAAGTGTGCTCAATCTGATGCTGTGATGAATAAATACATTCTGTTTCAATAATAAGACTACACCTGCTCACTGAGTTCATGTCCCAGCATAGGTGTATGCATTTGTGCATGTACAGTATGTATTTATACCCATGAATGTGTGTGTGTGTGTGTATGTATGTATGTTTATGTATGTATATATGTATGTATATGTATGTTTGCGTGTGTGTGTAAAAAGCACATTTAATATTGTATGCCTGTAAGCTCTATATCTTGCCATCCTTTGGATATGTGTAACTTTGGCCCAATCATTCTCTCTCAGCAAATCCTATCAGAGGTTTGTGTTTAGGGTTAAAATGAAACACAGGGATAAATTAAGACTGCCCTAAGCAATTCTAGGAAAGGTGGGATATAAATCTAACAAGCAAAACATAAATTACATGTTTATATTCATGGTTGTCAGGGTAAAACATATAAAATTAATGAAAAGGTTTTAAAAAGAGAACACAAAGAAATATAACCACCGTTTAATATGGAATTGGAATGTGTTTTCTGCATAATTACAATATTCTATAATTTTCTATTATTTTTTTAAAAACAGCATTCTGATAACATCTGGCAGAATAGAAAAGTTTTTGTCCACTTTTCTAAAACTTCCTACATAAACTAGTGCCTCAAGATGAAAAACAACTTTTTAAGAAACCTTACAAGGAGAATTTGGAGAAGAACCTATATACCTTTAATTTCTTATCAACATTCCATTTCACAAAATATGGAAGACATTAAAAGTGAACGAGAATAATGATGTTGGGAAGCAAAGTTTATGAGGAAGGAATTAAGGATCTAGGTATGCTTAGCATTAAAAAAAAAGGAGACTGGAGTAAGATAACAGAACTCTTGAAATATCTGAAATCATTATTGCACAGAAAGCTGCAACCTATTCTTTGTTGTCCCAAAGCAAAAATATTTTAAATTAAAAGAAGGTAGATGTCACACTGAATGTTAAGCAAAACTTTGTAGAGAGAAATATTTTCAGATAGTATGTAATATTTTACCATTTAACACTGCTGAGAGAAGAAGCCAGTGTCCCCTAAACCCCAGAGATTTTTTCCCTATACCTGAGGCACAGAAACAAATCATATAATAAAGATTTATGAAATCTGTTTGTTGGCACTATGTGTACATTTTTGTTCCAGTTCTCTGAGAAATGGAGGCTGTCATTCAGGTTTGCTGGCAAAAGAACAAAAGTTAGTGAGTTGTTACAGACAGCCCAGGTATTTGGTAAAGAGCAGTTGCATAAATATCTTATCCAATCCCCTCAACTCGGACTTTTTATATTCTTAGACAAACCAAATTTTGAATTAAAAATCAAATGTACAAAATGATACATGAAAACAGACAAAGGGCAGAAGTAACTTTGTTTGGCATTTGACAGTACTGGGTAAATTCCAAATTTCTGCATATGTCGATTCTCTAATACACTATACATCAACCACCATCTGCCAGCATGGCAAGATGCCTACTCCTAAGATATCATTCCAGTTTTATTAGGACAAACACACCAATGCAAAGATTAGAAGTCGTATCTAAATCTTGAAGGCTGCATAATTATTGCAAAGAAAGGCATTGAGCTAACTGTATTCCTGATATTTTTTCCTTATAATTAAAGAAGGGCATTTACCCTAAAGGCATGCAGCCATAATTGTAATTAAAAAATGTTCCCAAATTTTGCCATCATCACTGTAGAAACCTTAAATCCCTTCCAGTTACCTGCTTGTTTGCAGAATTAACAATGGTGCCTCAGCACTAAAACATCCAATCTGATTCCAAATTTGAAAGATACCTATATTTCTAAGGAATGTTTCTTGTCTCCCTTCTTAAAAACCTCTACAGTTCTAACAATATTCTTATACCTGTTCTGCATTACAAAATCCCTCCAAGGGAAGATTTTGTTGCATGGGCACCTCTTTGATTTTGATGCACCTTAAGGCCATGTTCCATAATTACTTGATACATCTCAATGAATATAAGAAACACCCTGGCTCTTAAGCAACTATACTGCTTAATTATTTAGGTTCTTGGTGCTTGTTGTTCAGTCACTTACCTTGTCTATCCGTATGCCATGTTTTTAGTCTAGCTTTCCTTAGGGCTGCAGTCAAGAGAAGCAAGAAAACTTTGCTGCTTGTTATCTAGCAACTGTAAAGCAATTGTAATTCTTGTGGGATGAATTATTAGAGAAACAGATGGTAAACTAACTACCACTGAAGCTTTAGCTGAACGAAGGCCAGACTGAGATATTTCATCTGCTTGGTTAAGCCGATTTTACATTCTCCTGAAGCCAATGTACCAAAGAAGTAACTGATGGATTAAAATAAGGAAGAGATCTATTCACAATGTGAACTAGTTTCTCAAAATCCAAATACAAGAATTAGTATTATTTTAATCTACTATTTAGGGAGTTTTAGAAAATGAGCTGTGATGCATTATTTGAACTAATCAAAACTACCTAGTCCCCAGCTCAACTCTGAGCTGGTGGGGGGTTTTTTTATTACATTTTTATCAAACACATGAACACCATGCATTTGATAAAAATGTAATAAAAATATGAATTTAATAAATTTCCTCTTAGTGTAACTAAATCTAGTCCAAGCAGTTTCTGGCAACAATTAGTGAGCAATGGTGTCATGATTTTCATCCAATTGTGGTTGATGCAGGGAAAAAAAATGAGCTACAGTTTGCAACACCTAAGCTGCTACCTTCAGAAATCATCTGTCTTGAAAAAAAATTGACCTAAGGACCTCATCATATTAACCTTTGGTGTTCCTTTTTTTAAAAATGACTTTTGTGACCATAGTAAAGGTAACTTTAAATATCCAATTTTTTGCTGACAAGAATTGATTCGTTGATTTTGCCTTTTCATGTTAACACTGCATAATAGAAAGAACACAAAATGATACATTAATATGTTCATTAACAGTATTAACATTACTTTCTTGAAGCATAAATCTGCTGGGTTTTGAGGGCTGAAATCCAGTGATAATTTTTTGTTCTGCATTTATTAGTTTAGGAGCAATTCAAAATAATATTAAGTAATTTAGTTTCTTAATATACAGCCTTGGAAAACAAGGTGCTAAGATTATGAAAAACCATCTGTATAATTACATGGTTCCATATCCAAATTATTTTTCTTAATTAAGACATTGGTTGACAAAGGCATATACCCATATACTGCTTGTTAAAATTGTAATGCAGTATTAATAGAACGATCCTATTAATTTCAACTCAATGTGAATTTGAATAGCTAAAAAGTTGAGAAGACTATTGAATATTCAGCATTTAAACACAATGAAAAAGATATGAATTAAAAGCACAAGTTTATTCAAGCCGAAAAGGCTCTCATTTCATACAGTTTTAACAATGTCTTTCACTACAATATGAGAAATAGTGGAAGCTATCAAGGAATAGATAGCTTTAATAAAACATTAAAGAACTACTAAGAAAATATGATTTAGTCCATTTTTAATCTTTAATAATGGTTTTTTTCACATCAGAATTGTGCTTAATCAGCTATGCGGAGAGGAGAAATCCAGAAAGGTCACAATAACATTTTGCTGGCTTAAAAAAAAAGTTGAAATATCATAAGTAATGAAACCTGCAATCCCTGAAGCTGATTTTTCTGGTACACAGAAGGAGTGGTTGTAAATGGATAAGTCAGGTGCAGGGTTAAACAATTGGGAGCAAGAAAAGAAGCAAAGACAAATGGTACATCAGCTATAGAACAGGACCACAGCGACACCTTTGCCCTTAGAGTACAGTGTAATTGACAAATTGAATATGCTGGACCTATTATGGGTGGGGTTTTTTTGCATCTTGCCTTTATTATTGTTATAAATAACTCAAGGGGGTGAATATACCTAATACTTTTCCCCCCTCCTAATTTTCTCCAAAACAACCTTGATAGGAGGGTTGAGTCACTGGTACAAAGTCATCCAGCTGGATTCATGCCTAAGGCAGGACTAGAACTCACGGTCTCTTAGTTTCTACTCTGGTGCCTTAATCAATACACCAAACTGGCTCTCCAGAGTGAAAGCAAACTGTTGAAAAATATCAAGATCTTTCCCTCCGTTCCATGCCTTATAATAATAAATTACAACTGGGCAGAAACGGAATCTGGCAAACTGGCAAGAGAGATGCACGCAATTTTATTTTTTATTTAGTGGAATTCTATACTGTTTTCATGGTAATAATCTTGAATAACGAAGACAGAATAGTGAATACACAATATGAAAAATGAAATATTAATATTTTAATTGTAATATTTACATTAATGAAAAATAATGAACTCAGAATATAAAATAGTTAAAAGACAGACAGAAAGAGTTCCAGGAATCTAATATTTATGCATAGCATTCACCCAGAATATGGCTCTCTGCTTCCAATGATATGGCCAGGAGAGCATAGCAAATTAGGATGTTTGCAAACAGAAATAAGAAAATTGCTACGTTTGTGATTTCCAGTCTTGTAGGAGCCCTACAATTAGCAGCAGTAAAGAGGTCCTTGCCAGTATTAGAGAAAGACTTTGGTTTCTCCTCTTTTTGTGTGGACCTTCAGGATTCCTAGCCATGGCTTGCCCTGTTCAGGTTAATTCCTCTGAGTCTGCTGGAAAGTGCTGCACCTGTGGAACCATGGGCCATCTCATGAGTATATGCCTGAAGTCTCATATTCACTAAACCTCACATGTTACCATCCCCCAAACTTGGCCCCAAGACAAATAAGAACTTAAACAGCTGAAAATAGGTAAGTATATGTTGTTATCTTTGTTAATCTTTGCCCGAACCCAAGCACAGAAATGCACCTTTTTCAGACTCTGGCTCAACTTCATAGAGGGGACCATAATACATTGTTCAATTGCCAACAAAGTACATTAAAATTATGCTAGTTGAAATGATTGATGTGCAGTCACTTTCAAAACATCCTATTTTGCAACGTACAACTCCTTTGCAACTGAAAATCAATAAAATGCAATAAAATACTAAAATCGTGCTAATCTATATTACAACTTTCTTGTATGTCCCCATAATATAGATTATTATAGATAATATTATAGATTAGCTGCAAACTCAAAATTCCAATGCTCACTAGGAATAAGGGAATAGGAGGTGATTTCTTTTCCATCTCAAAAATGTCACTCACACCAGCAGCATTATTTGCAGGCATCTGATGCTTTTCCTTCTTTTCCTCTTGCCCTATTGTCTAAACCTTCTTCCTCTCCAGAAAAGGTTACAGCTTTTCTAATTTTTTTGGGGGGGGGAGGGAAGAGTAAGCAATCATCTTGCTTTCTTATTAGCTGTGAGATTGTGTCATCAACTTAAAGCCTGGACCCAGATTTCAGCTAAAATATTCAATGTCTATTCAAGATGTTAGCCAATTTAAATAAGTTTCTGGATGACCACCTGAATAAAGGATGCATTTGCCTTTTGTTCTCAACTGCATTTTCATTGTGTCTGTGTGTATGTATACATACATGCACGTGTGTGTGTGTGTGTGTGTGTGTGTGTGTGTGTGTGTATGTGGATATGTATATGTAAAGACAATATTTTGAGGGCTGGTTATCATTATAGGCATTTGAAGTGACCAGTAAGTATCGCTTTTAACTTTTATTTCAGAAAGCACACATTTTCATTAACTTGGACTTGAGAAACATTTACAAATTGATCAAAATGAAAGATAATGGATTCTTAATAGTTTTTGATAAAAGATATGACAAATTTGAGTATCACTTTGATTTATTGTTTTATTGTCTTCTCCAGACTCATGAATAAAATATTTTTGATATCTTGTAGTGATGGTGAACTTAGATGAGATCCTATTTTTTTTCCAGAAGGCCACTCTTTGCATAAGATTCATATTAGATATGTCCTGGAGTGGCTACATTAGAACACCAGTTACTGTAATTCCTCTTTATTCCAGGTAGAAAATACAAAGGAAAAAAGACTCTTTGAGACTGAGGGAAGCTGAGAAATGAATGGAACAGCAGACATACATAAACAATTGAGAACTAGCAGATGAGTCAATTGACAACATATTCAATAAATGGCAATTTAGTCCAGGTGGTTAAAAATTTGGCAAAAAGCAATTCAAATCACCCAAAGAGACTTTGTTTCAATTAACTCATGATAAACCTACAAACAAAACCAGGAAATTCCTCTTACACTTCCAGATTCTGTATTTGCCTTCAGACTAGCAATAAAGATAACATATAAAATTAAAATTTCTTCCTTGATCTTGCCTAGCTGTTTGGGACAGATCCCAAGTTCACTTCTTACAATTCTTGAAAAAAATGAGGTAAATAAATGTAGTGCTTGTCATCTAAACACATCTGTCTAGTTTAGAGGCCTTCATATTTCTTATGTTTTACTCCAGGCCTTCATTCAAAGTACTAGGCAGATACTGATCTCCTTTTACAGCTACAACAACCTTACAGAGTAGTCCTACTTAACAATTTTATAACCAAATATCAAACTGAATCCAGGTCTACCAGTTCCAAAGCCATTTCACTGTTTTCAGTCCCAGATTATTCCACAAACACTCAGAATAGCAGACTATAATGGAAAGTCACTACAGTTTTGACCTCTGTTTTTTTAATGTGAAAACTGAGAAAATCAATCCTGTTTGCAATATATCGTGAAGTCACTGAGGAGTGATTTGACAGCCAAACGGATTTTTAAATAATCATCATCTGACCCCATTCTAGTCAATCCTAGGAAACCTATTTCCAGCCATGTTACTTTTGCATAGGTCCTGCATTACTGTAGAAATTAATTAAAGACAGTTTGAATGTTTCCATTTCAAAACATTGTAACAATAATTGCTATTTGGCTTGAGGAAACAAAATGTGCTATGAAATGAGTAACTCCTGAATTTATAGAATCTTAGAATGATTGGGTGGTAAAAGGCCATTTCATCCATCAAACTTACCTCTCTGCTCAGTGCAAGAATCCAATTTACAGCAGCCAGAAGAGATGAGTGTTTAGCCTCTGCTTAAACAAATCTATCGAAGGATATTTACTGTGCCAATTTTGTTTTACTTGCAAATCTGATCTGCATTTCCTCTATCTGTAAATCCAAGACATTAATAAAAATGCTGAACACCGGAGGGCTCACAAGGAAGGAGGAAAGTTTTGGTTGATGGCAATCCAGAAACAGAGTTGAACAGTTAGTGGGTGAAGTGCTTTTCTCCATCTTAAGAGTTT